TCAGTCAGGTTTGAAACACAGGCAGCATTTGCCAGATTGGAAAAAGCAGGCCTTGGGCAGCATTACAGAAATCATAACAATATGGTGAAATAGAGTATGGTATGAACTGTGGTGGTGTGGCTCTTCAGGAGCTGTACCTCCTTATGTTGGTAGTGTACTTCACTGTGATCTCCATTTCTTTGTGTCATGATAAATTAACTTGACAAGGATTATGCAGTCTAAAAACCAGTACTTCTGCTGCAAGACAGCTCACTGATGCTTTCCAAAGTACAACTGGATCAAAGACCATATTCGCAGTTGTAAGCGCAAAGGTCATCTTTTTGGTATGTGCTGAGGTTGGTTATGCTGTACATACGTGAAAATGTCTGTCACAGATAAAGCATGGTGTGTTCATATGTTCATGTATGAGAGGTATGTGTTTTATTTAGACTTGATTGTGGCAACCTTATTTTTTTTTCAATGTTGAGATAATCTGATGGGTGCAGTATGGTTGAAATAAAAGGAGGGAACATTTTTTTCTTGGACAAAAACTTACTGGCTTAGTGCCTTTCTTTGGTTGTGGAGGTTGCTTGTGTAATCCGATAGCAAAATGGAGAATTTTGAGCTACTAAGTTGAATATTCTGTATCGTCTGTTCTGACTGTCCTGAAGAATTAGCATATCTCCTTTTAGTTTCTGCTTGCTGTTGTAGGAATTTTTATTTGCAGTAGTATCTTGATGAATATTAATGATTTACTATTTGAATAGGACTCTCCTTACACCATTTTCCTAATTTGCCTCCTTTATTTCTTTTCCTTAAGAAGTCTTACTAAAGAAACTTCTTGGAAGTCGTCGTCTATGGAATTCTGTTATAGTGGCTATAAAAAAAGATGATTTCAGGAGTTCTGGGCCTACTTCTCAGTCCTCTAGGTAACAGCCATGGCCTTTTTAATTGCTATGAAGTCACTTGCCTGACTTTTAACATGGTACGTTTTGTGATACAGCTGAAAGAAATAGAGGAAGCAGCAATTCTGCTGTTCGGCTTACAGTTCTGCATAACTTATCTTCCCACTTAGAGAATGTTAGGCAGCATGCCCTGCCACAGAGAGGTGGGAGAGGAAGAGGGATTTGGGGTTCTGCTATTTTATACGCTAACAAGTTTCACTTGTGTAGAAGTATACTGCTCCATACCTCTGTGTGTGTGGCTATCAGAAGGGGGGTTGTGTGGACTTGGAAGCAGGATAAAATCTACTACTTTTAGCCATGTCAAGCTGTCTAACATATCTTTTCTTTTCTGCTATTGGTGGGATTAAGCTGCTCTTGAAATCGGATGTTTAATACATGGCTGCTACTTTTGCAACCATGAAAAAGGATTTACTGTCATGAAAATTAGTTTAAGTAATAGTGTGAACTTAATGGCTGCCTTTTCTTCTGCTGTTCCCAAAGTTAACTTTCCCCCTTAGGATTGTATGTTAAACTCTTACTGCAGAGTGTTTACTTAAGTATTTTTCATTTATATGAGAGCAAATTTGAGATCCATTATACAGAAAGTCTGTTAAAATAGTGTAAAAGTTGCTAGGTTGCTTTCAGTTACCTATATTTTTCTCTACCCTAAGCCCATCTGAGCTGGCTTCGTAGTTACTTTTCTCTACCTACTCCAGGAAGAACATGCCATTGGCTGAAAAGTTGGCGTCACCACGGTAAAAGTTACTGAAGTCCATATCATTGGATAGGAAAGACTGCCAAGAACCCTGACATCAGATGTGCTCAGTATTGCACCTGGATTGTGTGATGGGAAAACAAGTTAAAATACAAAAAAACAGAAGATGACA